GCGCGCCGCTTCCCAAACCCTAAACCCTAAACCCTAAACCCTCACCTCTCGACAGAAAGCGCCTGCGCTTCAACCCTGCGACTGCGGAGGCGGCGGCCAAACCCTAAACCCTAAACCCTAAACCCTCGGCGGCCCGGTGCGGGGCCGATCCCGCCCAAGCTTGAGCGGGCCCCGCCCGCTGCTGCTGCTGCTGCTGCTGCTGCTGCTGCTGCTGCTGCTGCTGCTGCTGCTTTAAAGGACTTCTTTCAATTCAAAAGAAAGAAATCCTTCAAACCCGAGAGACCCCATGAGGGGCCCCTCAGCAGGCGCTGCAGTCAGCGGCCTCGGATCGAGGTTTGGGGCCCCTAGTCCCTTCTCTTCTCCCAAACCCTAAACCCTAAACCCTAAACCCTAAACCCTCGCCCTCACAATGAAGCCCTTGCGGCTCTTCGCCGCGGGGGCTGCCCTGCTCGACTTCTGCGCCGGGACCGCGGACCCGCAGCAGCAGCAGCAGCTGCTGCAGCAGCAGCAGCAGCAGCAGGGCTTCCACAGTGCAGCAGCAGCAGCAGCAGCAGCAGCAGAAGCCCTCCCAGCAGTCTGGATCCTAAACCCTCAGCGGGCCCTGCAGCATTTGCTGCAGCGCCTGGCTTCGACCCTGGGGCCTGTGGGGCCCCTGGGGGGGCCCCCCGGGGGCCCCCCGGGGGGCCCCCTTCCAGTACCCGAACCCACCCCTCCCGCGGGGGGCCCCCCAGCCTCCCCGGGGGCCCCCGGGGGGCCCCCCACTGCGGGTCTGTACCCTCAGGGGGGCCCCCAGGGCCCCGGAGGTGCTGCCCGCAGTGCCCTGGAGGGCCTTTTAAACAAAGCAGCAGCAATGAGAAGGGGCCCCCAAGAAAGCCCTCCCGGAAGTCCCTTGGGGGGCCCCCTGGGGGGCCCCCTGGGGGGCCCCCTGGGGGGCCCCCTGGGGGGCCCCCTGAAGGGGGACATGCAAGGAAGGCAGCAGCTGCAGCAGCAGCGGAGAAGCCAGCAGAGGCCCCCTTACTGGCTTGGGGGCCCCCCGCGGCGAAGGGGGCCCCCAGCAGAAGCAGCAGCGGCTGGACCTGCAGCAGCTGCTGGGCGAGCCTTCTGAAGGGCCTCTTTTGGAAAACAGAGCAGCAGCAGCAGCAGCAGCAGCTGCTGCTGCTGCTGCTGCTCCCCACAAACAGAAGCAGAAGAAGAGGGGCCCCCAAGGGGCCTGGAGGGCCCCCAAAAAGCTCAGCAGCAAAAAAGACCCGGAAGAAGACATTCTCGCGGTGCTCCCGCGGGCTTCTGTACCCTATCGGGGGCCCCCCGGGGGGCCCCCCCGCGGGACTCCGCTGTACCCCAAAGCCCCCAGCAGACCCTGCAGCAGCTGCTCTCAGACACAGCAGACTCTATGGGCTTTTCCAGCTGGAGGCCCCCCCGGGGGCCAGGGGCCCCTCGCTGAGGGGCCCGCAGGGGGGCCCCCCTGCTGCAGCAGAGGGGCCCCGGAGGCTGCTGGAGGGTTTGCTGCAGGCAGCAAGTGCTGAATATGAAGCAGCAGCAGCAAAGAAAGCAGCAAGAGCTGCGCGCCGCAAAATGCTGCTGGGGCCCCCCCCCAGGGGGGCCCCCCAGAAGGCCAAAGGGGTCTCAGAAGAAGAACCCATTTTGGCTGTGTTGCCGCGGAGCGTGGGGGCCCCCTGGGGGGCCCCCTGGGGGCCCCCGGGGGGCCCCCACCAACCCCAGGACTCCCCCCAGGAGAAGCTGCAGCAGCTCATTGCCAACTCCCTCGCGCAGACCCAAGCAGCGCAGCAGCAGCAGCTGCTGCTGCAGCAGCTGCTGCTGCAGCAGCAGCAGGAGGACCTCCTCGGCGACGCAGAGCAGCAGCTCGAAGGGGCCCCCTGGGGCCCCCCCAACCAGGGGGCCCCCGGGGCCCCACAGGGCCCCCTGGGGGCCCCTGAGGGGGCCCCCCTGCAGCTCGAAAAGGGTACTGGAGAGCAGCAAACTGAGAAGCTTCAGGGGGGCCCCCCTGGTGTCCCGCTCGAGGCCGAAGGTGCCAACAGCAGCAATGCATCTGCAGCAGCAGCAGCAGCAGCAGCAGAAGGTGCTGCAGCAGTAATGATGGCAGCAACGGAGAGGGAGAGGGATGATGCAGCAGCAGCAGCAGCAGCAGCAGCAGCAGCAGGTGCCGATGCAACTGCAGCAGCAGAAGTCGAAACTGATGGCGCAGCAGCAGAAACAGCAGCAGCAGCAGCAGCAGCAGAAATGGCGGAAGTCGATGGCAAAGCAGCAGCAGCAGCAGCAGCAAAAGAAGCCAGTGCAGCAGCAGCAAAAAGACACACCGCAGCTACAGTGTCAAAAAAACAAAGTGCAGCAGCAGCAGCAGCAGCAGCAGCAGCAGCAGCAGAAGATAGAGCAGCAGAAAAAGATGAATCAAAAGACAAGGAGAAGTCAGCAGCAGCATACAAAAGTGCAGCAGCTGCAGCAGCAGCAACAGCAGCAGCTGACAAAAGTGCAGCGGCGCCAGTAGCAGCAAAATGGATCGCAGCAGCAGCAGCAGCAGCAAAGGAACGTAAAGAAGCAGCAGCAGCAAATGAGAGTGCAGCAGCAGCCGCGGAGAAAGATGGCGCAGCAGCAGAAAGCTTAGCTGCAGCAAACGACAAAGCCACCACTGCAGCGTCAAAAGGCTCCACTGCAGCAGCAGCAGCAGCAGCAGCAGCAGCAGCAGCAGCAGATAGCAGCTCGTCAGAAGACAGCAGCACAACAACAGATGAAAGCTCTTCAGAAGAAGACACTACAACAACAACTGAAGACAGCACATCTTCAGAAGAAAGTGCAGCAGCAGCAGCAGCAGCAGCAGCAGCAGCAGAACTCAGTGCAGCAGCAGCAAATACTAGTGCAGCAGCAGCAGATAATAATGCATCGGAAGAGATAGTATTTCGTTCAGCAGCACCGCGGAAACCAGCAGCAGCAGCAAAGGGGGGTAAAGCAGCAGCAGCAGCAGCAGCAGCACGACACAATGCAAGAGCAGCAGCACAAGACAATGCAGCAGCAGCAGCTGCTGCTGCAAGAGAAGATAATGCAGCAGCCACAGAGGCTACAGCAGCACCATTAGGAGGTGATGCAGCAGCAGCAGCAGCAGAAAACAGGAAAGCAGCAGCAGAGTCAGAAGGCAGCGCAGCAGCAGCAGCAGCTGCTGCTGCTGCTGCTGCTGCTGCTGCTGCAAAAGATCGTGCAGCAGCAGCCGAAGAGAGTGCAGCAGCAGAAGACAGTGCAGCAGCAGAAGACAGTGCAGCAGCAGCAGAAGACAGTGCAGCAGCAGCAGAAGACAGTGCAGCAGCAGCAGAAGACAGTGCAGCAGCAGAAGACAGTGCAGCAGCAGAAGACAGTGCAGCAGCAGCAGATGAAGACAGTGCAGCAGCAGCAGATGACAGCGAAGACAGCGCGTCGCTGCAGGCTGAGACAGATGAGGCTTTTGCTGCAGCAGCAGCAGCAGCAGCAGCAGCAGATGTCGAGCCCGCTGTGGCTTCTGCTGCAGCAGCAGCATGGGACCTTAGGAGGACAGCTGCTGCTGCTAGGCGCGCAGAAGAAGCAGCAAAAGCAGCAAGAATTGCTGCAGCAGCAGCAAGGGGCATCTCGCGTAAGCTCCAAACCCTAAACCCTAAACCCTAAACCCTAAACCCTAAACCCTTTGGGGCCCCTCCAGATTGCAGCAAAGACAGCAAGCAAGACACGCACAGTAGCCGTGCCTCAAGAGTCTACGGCCACTATATAGGCCTCAGAGCCTAGGGTTTAGGGTTTAGGGTTTAGGGTTTAGGGTTTAGGGTTTAGGGTTTAGGGTTTAGGGTTTGCGGGTGCGCAGTGCGGCCAGCCCCCGAGTCAGCAGCAGACACAAGCGAGGGGCCCCTCAGAAAGTGGGAAGACTCAGATTCTCTTTCAGAAGAAACAACAGAGTCTGAAGAGGGACTTTCTGGGGACTTTGTACCCTTGGGGGGCCCCCCAGGGGGCCCCCGGGGGACCCCCTGGGGGGCCCCCCAGCGGGCCTCGCTGGAGGCCTCGCTGCGGGCAGTGGGGGGCCCCCTGCGGGGCGCGAGGGGCCCCCTGGGGGCGGGGGGGGCCCCCCTGGGGGCCCCCCTGGGGGGCCCCCTGGAAGGGCCCCTGGGGGGCCCCCTGGGGGGCCCCCGAGGGGGCCCCCTGGGGGCCCCCCCAAGCTCTCCAGAAGAGCCAGGGCCCCCCAGCCTCTCGTGGGGCCCCTCTAGTGAGCTCGGAGAAGAGCCCGAAGAGGGTACTAAACAGTTTGGGGGCCCCCACTGGGATATAGGGTTGGGGGGCCCCCCGGGGGCCCTCGATGCTTCAGAGACTGAGGGGGCCCCCTCTCCTGTTTTTTTCCTCAAAGAGTCTGAAGAAGAAGAGGGGGCCTCTGCTGCTAATGAAGAAGAAGAAGATATCTTTTGGGGCAGCAGCGAGGGGGCCCCCTGGGGGCCCCTGAGCGGGCTGGGGGCCCCCCCCGAGGAGGGCCCCCAAGAGGGTTTGGACCCCGCGGGGGGGCCCCCAGCAGCAGCAGGCCTCGCCAGCAGCAGCAGGTACTCGCAGCAGCAGCAGCAAGGGCAGGAGCCGCAGCAGCAGCAGCAGCAGCAGCAGCAGCAGGGGCGCGAGCCAGGGCAGCAGGGAAAGCCGCAGGAGGGTCAGGGGGGCCCCCCGAGGGGGGCCCCCAAGACCCCCGGGGGCCCCCCTAGAGGGGGCCCCCGAGAAGACAGGGGCCCCCAAGAAGCCTATGGGATTTCAGCTGGGTGGGGCCCCGCATTTGTCTTTGGTTTAATTTTATTTATTGCAGTTGTTGTAGGGATTCTTGTTTGGTTGCATTCCTTCTGTACGTAAACTCCAAACCCTAAACCCTAAACCCTAAACCCTAAACCCTTGTGCTCGAGAGGCGCTAGGACGCGCCTGCTGCGCGAAGCGATAATGCACGCTGCAGCAGACAGAGCAGCAGCCGCCGCAGCAGCAGCAGCAACAGCAGCAGCAGCAGAGCAGCAGCAGCAACAGCAGCAGCAGCAGCAACAGCAGCAGCAGCAGCAGCAGCAGTGCAGTTTCAGTTCTTTGTTTGGGCCGGCGGGCCACCAGGGCCAACGCCCATAAGCTGAGCAATGCAGTTACTAATTATTAAATATAAATAAATAAATAAATAATAAACAAATAAATAAACAAATAAATAAATAAATTAATTAATTAATTAATTAATTTATTTATTTGTTTATTTATTTATTTGTCTTCAGGCTCGAGGAGGGCTCTCAAGAAAGCAGAAGCAGAAGCGCCTACAGAGCGCAGCGGCAGCAGCTCGTGGGCCACAACCCCCTAAACCCTAAACCCTAAACCCTAAACCCTAAACCCTAAACCCTAGCTTGTAGACAGGTTTGCGGCGACTGAGCCCTCCCAGTTTGCCGTTTTTGTTTTCTTAAATTTCTTTCAAAAGGTGAAAAAGAATTTTTTATTTGTTCCCCACACTCTGAGGTGTCTGTACACCTCACGCCCCACACAAAAAGCCAAAAGTTCAGAAACAAAAAGTATTTATTATTACCATTATTATTAATTACTTATTATTATTATTATTAATTATTTATTATTATTAATATATTATTATTATTATTATTATTATTATTATTATTATTATTAATTATTATTATTATTATTACTACTACTACTACCATTATTGTTATTATTGGTATTAGTATTACTTGGGGTCACTATTTATTATTGCCATTCTTATTTTTGCCATTATTAGCAATTACTAGTCTTAGTATTATTATTAATTATTATATTCACTGTTACATTACTATTAAAACTATTATTATTACTATTATTATTCTTATTATTATTACTTATTATTATTAATTATTATATTCACTGTTACATTACTATTAAAACTATTATTATTACTAGTATTATTTTAATTATTATTACTTATTATTAATTATTATATTCACTGTTACATTACTATTAAAACTATTATTATTTCTATTATTATTCTTATTATTTTTACTATTATTATTTATTATTGTTTTTTATTATTATCATTATTTTGATTGTATTATTATTATAATTACCATTATTATTATTTGTTATTATTATTTATTATTATTACTATTATCTTTATACCATTATTATTATTACTATTATTATTATTTGTTATTATTGTTTATTATTATTACTATTATCTTTACACCATTATTATTATTACTATTATTATTGTTTGTTATTATTATTTATTATTATTACTATTATCTTTATACCATTATTACTATTATTATTATTTGTTATTATTATCTATTATTATTACTATTATGTTTATACCATTATTATTATTACTATTATATTTGTTATTATTATTACTATTATCTTTATAGCACTATCATTATTACTATTATTATTATTATTTGTTATTATTTATTATTATTACTATTATTATTATTTGTAATAATTACTACTATTATTTGTTATTATTATTACAAGAAGACAAATCCAACAAATGGCACTCCCGCCGCCCCTGCGCTGCTGAGGTGTACGTACACCTGAAAAAGCCTCTTCAGGAATTTCCCAAAACTGTTTTTTCGACAAAAACAAAAATTTATTAAATGGGGCTGCATGCGTTTGCATGCAGCCCCGGATCTGGACTGGCCAGCTGGCTAATTAGTTAACAAATTAACTGATTAATTAATTAATTAATTAATTAATTAATTAATTGACTAATTAATTAATTAATTAATTTGTTGCCTTGCTCTAGCATGCGCAGCGATCACAAGAGGCTAGCTAGTTGGCCAGCTAGCTGGCTAGCTAGCTGGCTAGCTAGCTAGCTAGCTAGTTGGCCAGCTAGCTGGCTAGCTAGCTGGTTAGGTAGCTAGCTAGCTAGTTGGCTCGCTAGTTGGCTAGCTGGTTGGCTAGCTAGTTGGCTCGCTAGCCGATTTGTCAACGGGCTGGCTAGCTGGCTAGCTAGCCAGCTGGATAGCCAGTTGGCTAGCTAGTTGGCTGGCGAACTACTGAGGTGGCTTGCTCGCAAGCTATTGGAAATTCCTGGCTAGCTAGCTAGCTAGCTGGCTAGCTAGCTAGCTGGCTAGCTAGCTAGCTAGCTGGCTAGCTAGCTAGCTAGCTGGCTAGCTAGCTACTGCCTGGGCCGCAGGGCCAGCGAACTACCTAGAAAAGCGCCAGGCTAGCTAGCTAGCTAGCTAGCTAGCTAGCTAGCCATTTAATTAGCGAGGCGGTTTTGCAGCTGACCAGGCAGCCAGCTAGTCAACCAGATAGCTAGCTGGCTAGCTAGCCAGCTAGCTAGCTAGCTAGCTAGCTAGCTAGCTATCTACTAGTCTTTAAACAAAGCTTTAGGGCCGCAGGGGGGGCCCCCAAGCAACAACCCCACCTTCAGAGGGGCCCCCCTTTTTAGGGGGCCCCTCGTTAACGCTGCGGCCAAGGCTGCTGCTGCTGCAGCTGCTGCTGCAACTGCTGCTGCTGTTGCAAATGCTGCTGCAGTTGCTGCTGCTGCTGCTGCAGCTGTTGTGGCGGCTGCAGCCGCTGCAGCGGCTGCGGCTGCTGCAGCTGCTGCAGCTGCTGCAGCAGCTGCGCCGTAGGGACACCTACAGGAGGCGGTTGACTTGCCATTTGGAGCTGCTGCGGCTGCCGCTGCAGCAGCAGCTGTTGCTGCAGCAGCTGCTGTTGCAGCTGCTGTGGCTGCTGCTGCAGCAGCAGCTGAGGCTGCTGCTGCTGGAACATCTGAAGGGGCGGCAGCGGGGGAGCCGCACCTGCAGCAGCAGCAGCAGCAGCAGCAGCAGCGGCGGCAGCGCTGTGTTCCGCGTGCTGCTGCTGCAGCGCCTGCTGCTTTGCAGGGTCCATGGCCTGCTGCTGCTGCTGCTGCAGCTGCTGCTGGTGCAGCTGCTGCTGCAGCACGTTCAGCTGCCGATTCTGCCGCAGCAGCTGCTGCTGCTGCTGCGCCAGCCCAGCCATAGGCCCTGGGAATACCCCCAAGGGGGGCCCCTGCAGAGTTGCTGTTGGTGGGGGGCCCCCCGGGCGTCGCATGCGTTGCTGCTGCAGCTGCTGCTGCTGCAGCTGTTGCTGCTGCAGCTGCTGCTGTTGTAGCTGTTGATGCTGCTGCAGCTGCTGCTGTTGCAGCTGCTGCTGCTGCAACAGCTGGGCGCTCGCGACTCCTTGCTGCTGCTGCAGCAGCAGCTGCTGCTGCAGCTGCTGCTGCAGCTGCTGCTTCTGCTGCGGCGTGCTTAGCAGCAAATCGTACAGCGCATCGAAATGGCCCGGCAAGCTCCTCGGGGGCACCCCTGGGGCCCCTGCTGCTGCTGCTGCTGCTGCTGCTGCTGCTGTCGCTGCTGCCGTTGTTGCTGCTGCTGCTGCTGGTCGATCTCCCTGCTGCAGCTTCGCAGCATCCGCCAGAGCAGCAGCGGCGCTTTCTTCAGGCGGCTTGGCTGCAGCTGCAGGCCCGGAAGCAGCAGCAGCAGCAGCAGCAGCAGTTGCTGCTGCTGCTGCTGCTGCACCTGCTTCTGCTTCTGCTGCGTCCGTCTTCAGGCGTTTTGCTGCGGGGGCCCCTGAAGCTGAAGCTGGGAAGGGGCCCCCTTCTGGGGGCCCCCTTGGGTACGCTGCACCTAGCGGCGGGGCTGCTGCTGCTGCTGCTGCTGCTGCTTTGGCTGCTGCCTGCAGCAGCCGCAGCCGCATTTGCTGCTGCTCCTGCGCGAAGGCAGCAGCAGCAACGCCGCTGCTGCTGCTGCTGCTGCTGCTGCTGCTGCTGCCCATTCTGCCGGCCCCGCAAAGCGCCAGCAGCACATCCGTGCAAATGCCCGAGGGGCCCCCAGGAGTTCGCTTTGCTGCTGCTGCTGCTGCTGCTGCTGCTGCACCTAGGGGGGCCCCCAGGGGGGCCCCCAGGGGGCCCCCCGGGGGCCCCCTTGAAAGGGTCCTTGCAGATAAAATGTGGGCCTCTCCAACTCCCAAAAGAAGGGACTGATCAAACCTCAGGCGAGAGTTGAATTCCGAGAAATCCGCCGTGTCCACGCCTGCAAACGCCAAACCCTAAACCCTAAACCCTAAACCCTAAACCCTAAACCCTAAACGCTAAACGCTAAAGGCTTCGGGGGCTGCCGCCCGCTGAGCCGCAGCTCCCCAGTCTCTTCCAAACTCCGCCCAAGCCCTCGCGCCCCTAAACCCTACACCTTAAACCCTAAACCCTAAACCCTAAACCCTAAACCCTAAACCCTAAACCCTCACCAAATATCCTGATGTCTGCGAGGGGAGTCCGGGGCAATTCCTTCTGCCGCAGCCGCCGAACTGTCAGCCGCAGTTTGGGGCATTTTGCTTCGAGCTGCTGCAGGGCCTCGGGGCCCAGAAAGGCCGAAATGCTGCACCCCAAACCCTAAACCCTAAACCCTAAACCCTAAACCCTAAACCCTAAACCCTAAACCCTAAACCCTGGACCTGGGCGGACCCCGCCCTGCTGCGCTGCGATGACGCAGCTGCCCCAAAACCCCAAACCCTAAACCCTGGTCGGCGCAGGAAGGGGCATGCGGGAGGCAACAGCACCCCAAACCCTAAACCCTAAACCCTAAACCCTAAACCCTAAACCCTAAACCCTAGCAAACCCTACCTAGCGTTGTATGATAACTGGCGCCCCAAATGCCTCTTTAAGGGACGGGCCCCAGGATAAGCCACAAGAGGGTACTCGATGGCTGAGGGCCCCTTGGGGGCCCCCAGGGGCCCCCAGGGGGGCCCCCCAGGGGCCCCCAGGGGGCCCCCGTCTGCTGCTTCATCTGCTGCTGCTGCTGCTGCTGCTGCTGCGCGTTCTGCTGCTTCTGCTTCTAGTGCTGCGTCTGGCAGCAGAAAAGAAAACCAAAAGAAGGGGTCTGCGATGGGGTTGCTGGCGACCACGGCTGAACGCAAACCCTAAACCCTAAACCCTAAACCCTAAACCCTAAACCCTGGGAGGAAACCACAGCCACAGAAACTCGGGCAGCCGCAGCCACTGTCTTCGACAAGCCCGAGGGTTTAGGGTTTAGCGTCTAGGGTTTAGGGTTTGGACTGCACTCTTGTGGGGCGCACGGTGGGCGGGCTGCTCCTGCTGCTGCTGCTGCTGCTGCTGCTGCTGCTGCTGCTGCGGGTTTAGGGTTTTGTGCTGCAGCAGCCCCAGAGCTTCTGCAGCAGCAGGGTTTGCCAAAGACCGCAGCAGCAAAGCTGACAGCAGCCGCTGCCGCGGCCAAGGGTTTTCAACTTCCGTCAAGTCCTCCGCCGCCTCCACGCCCCGCGCTGCCCACAAACCCTAAACCCTAAACCCTAAACCCTAAACCCTAAACCCTAAGCCGTGGACCCTCAAAACGAGCTGGGCAAGTCAGCAGGGCCTTGAGTCGCTGCGTGCGCAGGCGAGCGCATCCCCAGCCCCCCGCCCCAAACCCTAAACCCTAAACCCTAAACCCTAAACCCTAAACCCTAAACCCTAAACCCTAAACCCTAACCTGGGTCCCCCTGCATGTCTTGGGGAGCGTCCCTGTCGCTGAGTTTGTCGAGGGCCTTATCGGCTGCGGGCTGTGGGGCGGCGGGGGCGTGTTTGTCGTCCTTGGGGTCTGCTGCTGCTGCTGCTGCTGCAGCAGCAGCAGCAGCAGCATCTGCTGCAGCAGCAGCAGCAAACTTCGCGCGAAACCGCTCCCGAAACTTCCCCCAACAAGACTCCACTAAAGCTGCTGCTCTGCAAAAGGGAGTGTCGGGTCTGTTGTAGAGGCGGCAGTTGGAAACTATCAGCGCCACGTCGCTGTCGAACGCCGCGAAGTCTGCGCAAACCCTAAACCCTAAACCCTAAACCCTAAACCCTAAACCCTAAACCCTAGGTCCTACGCGCTGGGGGCGGCGGCTGCTTCGGCGGCCGCGGGAGCCGCGCCCGAACCCGCCAGGCGCTCCCCACGCGAAACCGCTCGCCGTGCCCCAAACCCCAAACCCTAAACCCTAAACCCTAAACCCTAAACCCTAAACCCTAAGCCCTGGCCCCGCGCAGCAGCCGCCCGCGCCCTCTGCTGCCACCAGGCGGCGCGGCGCGCCTCGCGCGCGGCCGCGCGCGCAGGCGCGGCGCGCAAACCCTGTTTTAGGGTTTAGGGTTTAGGGTTTAGGGTTTAGGGTTTGACCTGCGTATTGGCTGTTCTCGACCTTCTCCCGAATCGCCTCGAAATGCATAGGCCTCTCCACCACTAAATGATAATCCGGAACAAGTTCTTTATCAACAGCAGCAGCAAAGAATTGTTTTTTATCTTTTTTTTTAATTCGAGTGAGGGCCTCCAGCAGCACCTGCCGCACGCGGGAGCCCGCGGGGGGCCCCCCGGGGGGCCCCCCGGGGGGGCCCCCCTCGGGGGCCCCCGGGGGGCCCCCCAAGGGGCCCCCGTGGGGGGCCCCCGGGGGGCCCCCCTCGCCGCAAACCCCAAACCCTAAACCCCCGCGGGGGTTTTCGGAAGAACTCCGCGTCACCGGAGCTGCGCCCGGGAGCCCTGCGACACTCCAAGCCCTAAACCCTAAACCCTAAACCCTAAACCCTAAACCCTAAACCCTAGCGGCGCAAACCCCAGGCCCCCGCGGCTGCTGCGAGGCTCTCCCGCGCAACCCGCAAGCCCAGCCCCCAGCCCCAAACCCCAAACCCCAAACCCTAAACCCTAAACCCTAAACCCTAAACCCTAAACCCTAGAGCCTCACGGCATCGCTGCTGCAGCATGGCAGCTCTTGCTGCTGCTGCTGCTCGAGTAGATGGGGCATCAGGGGGGCCCCCAGGCCACTGGGGGCCCCTCCGGCGGTTTGCATTTCTGCTGCGGGCTGCTGCTGAGGGGGGCCCCCTAACTAAACCCTGTCGGGGGGCCCCCAGGCCCAGGGGGGCCCCCGGGGGCCCCCCCTTGGGGAGGGGGCCCCCCAGGGGCCCCTCAAATGCCATTGCTGCTGCTGGCCCCGCAAGGCGCAGCGCAGCAGCAAATCAACACGCACCCTGCTGCTGCTGCTGCTGCTGCTGCTGCCGCTGCTGCTGCTGCGGCTGCTGCTTTCGCTGCTGCTGCGGCTGCTGCTGCTGCTGCGCCTGTTGTGGGGGATCCAACAACATCCCTGCTGCCGACCAGAAACGGGTACTGCCTCGAACTGCTGCTGCTGCTGCTGCTGCTGCTGTTGCTGCTGCTGCTGCTGCTGCAGGCCTTGGAAAAAGTGTTCGTCGGGTTTGCTGCTGGCGCCCGAGCCGCAGCGTGTAAACCCTGAACCCTAAACCCTCATATCTAAACCCTAAACCCTCAAAATTAGATTTTAAATCCCAAAACTTAATTTGTTTTTAGGGGGAAGTGGGCGACCCAGCAGCAGCGACAGGGGGCCCCAGCCGTCGCTTGGGGGCTGCTGCTGCTGCTGCTGCTGCTGCAGGTGCGGGGCCCCCTGCTAGCTGCAGCATTCTTGCTGCTGATTTCTTCTTTTTTTGTTTTTGATAAATTAAAAATGAAGTTTTCATCTTAAGCGACTCTTCTGGGGTGTACAGACAGCTCCGGGGGCTCCAGTTTGGCTAACTGCAGCAGCAGCAGCCGCAGCACCAGCAGCAGCGGCAGCAACAGCCGCAGCAGCAGCAGCAGCAGCAGCTGCTGCGGCGGAAGGCTCTGTGTGCCTCAGTTTCAGGTGTACGTACACTCCGTTTTCAGAAGAATAGGGATAAATTGTCTTTGCTGCTGTTTGTCTTTTGCTGCTGCTCCTCTGCTGCAGCAGCACCAGCAGGAGCACACCGAGCGCCTTCTGCTGCACCTCGCCTTACCGCGCTAGCTAGGGTTTAGGGTTTAGGGTTTAGGGTTTAGGGTTTAGACCCTAACACAAACCCCCGCTGCAGTCAATTGCTTCCATTTTCATCCCCTACAGAGGCAAGGGGCCCCCAGGCCGCTCCAGGGGCCCCCCTGGGCAAGGGGCCCCCCGCTTGCTGCAGCAGCAACAGCAGCAGCAACAGCAGCAGCAGCAGCAGCGTCGGCCTCAAGAGCAGCAGTGGTGGCAGCAGCAGCAGCAGCAGCGTCAAAAGCAACAGCAGCAGCGGCATCAAAAGCAGCAGCAGCAGCAGCAGCAGCAGCAGCAGCATGAGCAGCAGCTGCGCAGCAATGCAGGATCTGGAGGCCCCCTTGAGCTTAGGGGCCCCCTGGGGCCCCTCGGGGGCCCCCCGAGGGCCCCTTGCTGCTGCTGCGTCTCCTGGGGCCCCTCCCTCATTTCTTGCTGCTAAGCAGCAGCAGCAGCAGCAGCAGCAGCAGGAGCCGAAGCAGCAGGAGTTGGCGCTGGGTCTGTGCGCCGACGAGCAGCAGCAGCAGCTGCTGCAGCAGCAGCAGCAGCTGCTGCAGCAGCAGCAGCAGGAGGAGGACCTGGAGAGCGTGGAAGCAGCTGAGGGGGCGCTGCAGTACGAGCTGGAAGTGCTGCCGCTGGGCTTTGCTGCTGCTGCTGCTGCTGCTGCTGCTGCTGCTGCTGCTGCTGGGGGGGGCCCCGCGAGGAGCTGGCGCGTGTCTTTGCTGCGGGTGGGGAGTTTGCTGCTGCTGTCGCTGCTGCCGCTGCTGTCGTGTCTGCTGTTTGTGTCTGTCTTGCATTCTGCTGCTGCTGCTATGCTCGTGCTGCACTGGTGCTGCATGCTGGGGGCCCCTGCGGTGTACATACACCTCGCCAGCCAAGACCCTCTTTTCTACCGCCGCTTGGGGGCCCCCCGGGGGCCCCTGGGGGGCCCCTGGAAGCAGCAGAGTTTGTGGGCCCTTGTGGGGTTTGTGTTGGGAGCTGCTGCTGCTTTTGGTGGCTTCCAGTTGCTGCTGCTGCTGCTGCGCGCAGCAGCGCAGCAGCAGCTGCTGCTGCTGCTGCGCGACCGCCTGCTGCAGCAGGGCCTCGGGGGCCCCCTCCCCCTCACGGGGGCCCTCGCTTTCTATTTTGTTTTTTTAAATCCTCCAATTGAAGAATTCTTTTGGAGAGTTTTTCTTTTGAAAGAATTAACTGCATGCGTTTACTGCCCCCCCCCTTCTCCGCTGTACGTACACCCCGGGGGGCCCCCCGGGGGGACCCTGGGGGGGCCCCCCGGGGGCGCAGCAGCAGCAGCAGCAGCAGCAGCAGCAGCAGCTGCTGCTGCTGCGGCGGAGGAGGGGGCCGCGGGCGCAGCAGCAGCGCAGCCGCTGACGGGCGCGCCGCGCCCGCCGCAGCGCCGCTGCTGCTGCAGCAGCTGCAGCAGCAGCAGCAGCAGCAGCAGCAGCAGCAGCAGCAGCGGGGAGGCGCTGGAGAAGAGGCCGTGGGGGGCCTTTGTTGCAGTGACTGCTGCCTACAGCAGCTACCACATGGTGGTCTGCGAGGCCCTCCTGGGGGCCCCCTGGGCTGTACCCTCTTTCTTCTGTCTTTTCTTCTTGGGGGCCCTTTTGCTGCTGCTGCGCTGCAGCAGCAAATTCGGCCTTTTGACTGCTGTGGGGCTCCACGCCGGAGTCGACTTCGCCGTCGTCGCCCTCTTCGCCCAAGCCCTCGGGCTCTTTTGAGGTGTACGTACACCTCAAGTCCTCGGGCTCTTCTGAGGTGTACAGACACCTCAGCAGCTCTTCTGGGGTGTACGTACACCTCAGGAGGGGTCTTCTGAGGTGTACGTACACCTCAAGTTCTCGGGCTCTTCTGAGGTGTACAGACACCTCAGCAGCTCTTCTGGGGTGTACGTACACCTCAGAAGGGGTCTTCTGAGGTGTATGTACACCTCAAGAGCTCTTCTGAGGTGTATGTACACCTCAGCAGCTCTTCTGAGGTGTACAGACAGCTCAAAAGCTCTTCTGAGGTGTACGTACACCTCAAAAGCTCTTCTGAGGTGTACGTACACCTCAAATAGAGGACAAGTGGGTGGCTTCTGAGGTGTACGTACACCGCAGAAGCTCTTTTGGGGTGTACGTACACCTCAGAAGCTCTTTTGAGGTGTCTCGAGGAGGAGCGCTTGAGGTGTACGTACACCTCAGCAGGTGTCTTCTGAGGTGCATGCGCAGCTCCGCAGTGTCTTCTGCGGTGTACGTACACCTCAAAAAGAGGCCCTGGCTTTTCCGGGGTGTACAGACACCGCAATGTGTTTGAGGTGTACGTACACCGCAGAAGGTGTCTTCTGAGGTGTACGTACACCTCAAATAGAGGACAACTGGGTGCCTTTTGAGGTGTACGTACACCTCAGATTGAGGCCTCCTGAGGTGTACGTACAGCTGAGGTGGCGTTTGTGGGGTTTTTTGAGGTGTACGTACACCTCAAGAAAGCGGAGGAGGCCCAGCAGCAAAGGTGGGGTGTATGTACACCTCAGGTAATGCAGCAAGAGATTAAAAAGGCTCCGAAACTTCTCAACTTCAATTCAGAACGGAGGGGCCCCCAGGGGCCCCCAGGGGCCCCAGAGGGTCTTCAAGGGGCCTCAGGGGGCCCCCGGGGGCCCCTCAGGTACTGCTGCGGTCTGCAGCAGCAGCGGGAAGATGTGCAGCAGCAGCAGCAGCAGCAGCTGCTGCTGCTGCTGCTTTTTTGGGGTTTTATTTTTGGGTTGAGTTGCATGCATGGCTCGAAGACAAGAAAGAAAGGAATAAAGACAAATTAATTCAATTAATAAATTCAATTAATTAAATTTATTAATTCAATTAATAAGTTTAATTAATATTAATTAAATTCATTAATTCAATTAATGAATTTAATTTAATTAATCATTTAATGGACCAGTCCGTCGAAATGCAACGAACGGGCGCCGCCGGCTGCAGCGCTCAGCTGAGGTGTACGTACAGCTGCTGCTGCTGCTGCAGCAGCAGCAGCAGTGTACGTACAGCTGCTGCTGCTGCTGCTGCAGCAGCAGCAGCAGTGTACGTACAGCTGCTGCTGCTGCCTCATTATCTCTGTGGTTTTTTTTGTTTCGTTTTTGTTTTTTAATTTTTTGTTTTAAATTGATTAATTTGCTGTTTTTATTTCCAATTTAATTATTTATTTCCACTTATTCCGCCTTTTTGCTTTTATTTCCACTTTTAGTTCTTTCAATTCCGCAAAGAAAGAAAAACAAAAAGTATATGGTGGGTTCCTCTCCGGGTGTACAGACACCTGGCACTCTTCAGGTGTACGTACACCCGAGACAAAACCAAACAAAAGACGCACAGAAATCTGCTGCTGCAGGTGCTGCTGCTGCTGCAGGTGCTGCTGCTGCTGCTGCAGGAGCTGCTGCTGCTGCTGCAAGTGCTGCTGCTGCTGCAGGTGCTGCTGCTGCTGCAAGTGCTGCTGCTGCTGCAAGTTCTGCTGCAGGTGCTGCTGCTGCTGCGGCAGCAGCAGCACACTCTGCCCCACACGCGAGCTCAGCTTGCTGCTCACCAGGCGGGCAAGCCAGCTAGCCGCCGCCCATCCTGCCACCCAACCAGCTAGCTAGCTAGCTAGCTAGCAAGCCAGCTAATTAGCTAGCTAGCTAACTAGCTAGCTAGCTGTGTGGCCAGCTAGCTAGCTAGCTAGCTAGCTAGCTATCTAGGACGGGTCTTCAGAGAGCCCCGCAGTCCTCAATAACCACGGGCACCTGCAGGGCAAACACAGAAACTAGTGGCTCAACAGCTAGCTAGCTAGCTAGCTGGCTAGCTAGCTAGCTAAACAATCAGCAAACTAGACAGCTAGCTAGCTAGCTGGCCAGGCAACAAGATAGCCAACTAGCCGAGTTACCAACAAGCTAGCTAACTGCCTAAATACATTACCGGCCTAAAAAAGCAACTGGCTAGCTAGCCAGAGCTAGCTAGCTAGCTAGCTAGGTCTGGCTATCTAGCCAGCTAGCTAGCCAGCTAGCTAGCCAGAGCTAGCCAGCTAGCCAGCTAGCTAGCCAGAGCTAGCTAGCTAGCCAGCTAGCTAGCCAGTTAGCTAGCTAATTAGCCAGCCAGCTAGCTAGCTAGCTAGCTAGCTAGCTGGGGGAGTTGGTACCTCGGGTTTGTCGGAGGCGTCTGTGGGGACCTCCTCCATGTCGTCAAGAAGTTCCAAACCCTCAACCACTTCGCCGAAAACCACATGTTTCCTAAACACAAACCCTAAACCCTAGAAACCCTAAACCCTAGAAACCCTAAACCCTAAAAATCCCAAACCCTGGAAACCCTAAACCCTCGGGCCGCGGCCTGCAGCGGCGCTTCTCCGCTGCCCCCCAGCAGCGCCGCTTGTTTGCTCCCCAGCCCCAAACCCTAAACCCCAAACCCTAAACCCCAAACCCTAAACCCTAAACCCCAAACCCTAAACCCTAAACCCTACCCATCTAGGTGGGGCGTGGGGCCGAAAGTAATGAAGAATTGAGAGCTGTTGGTGTTGGGGCCGGCGTTGGCCATGGAGAGTTGGCCCCTGTGGAGGTGTTTGTCGATGAAGGCCTCGTCTGCACGTACGCCCCAAACCCTAAACCCTAAATTAGGGTTTGCAAACCCTAAACCCTAAATTAGGGTTTACAAACCCTAAACCAGGGCTTCGCCGCTCCACATGCCAAAACACAAATCGACGTCCTAATCCACTTCAGTCGTAAAACACCCAAACTCACTCAAGGGTTTAGGGTTTAGGGTTTAGGGTTTAACACAATAATGGCTAATAGTCAAAAGCGGAAAACGATACATAAAAATGTAGCAAATAAACAACCCGACAAACAAGCAAATGAAATAAGTGAATAACAGATAAATAAGGGAAATAAATAAGTAAATAAAACAAATAAATAAAATAAATAAATAAAATAAATAAATAAATAAATAAATAAATAAATAAAATTAATTAATTAATGCACCTTCAAAGGAAGGCCCGTAAATGCTTTCGCCCCCCTTGCCGTCGATGTCTCCGCCTTGAGCCATAAACCCTTTTATGATTCTGTGGAAAGTGTTTTGTTTGAAACTCAAAACATTTCCTTCTTTGCCTTTTTTGTCTCCTGCGCGCCAAACCCTAAACCCTAAACCCTAAACCCTAAACCCTAAACCCTAAACCCTCGCGCCCCTGAAAAAATCGCGAAAAATGACCCCCTACACTCCCCGCAACGCTCAAACGAATACTAAACCCTAAACCCTAAACCCTAAACCCTAAACCCTAAACCCTCGCACTCACCCACGCACAGAGACTTGAAGTTCTCCACTGTGCGCGGCACAGTGTCTTGATACAGCGCAATCACAAGCCGCTTTGCTGCACGCAAACCCTAAACCCTAAACCCTAAACCCTAAACCCTAGACTGCTTGCCGAAAAGAGCGGCTAGGGTTTAGGGTTTGGGTTCACTGCGTTGCAGCGCCACAGGCGGGCAGCCGCAGCAGATGCCGCCCCGCAGCTAGGGTTTAGGGTTTAGCATTTGTTAGGGTTTAGGGTTTAGGGTTTACCGGGTTTGTCGCCGACGCGAATATTCATGAAAACCCTAGGGCAGCGGTCGAGGTTGCGCACGCCAGCTTTCTCTGCAACAAACAATTAGGGTTTAGGGTTTAGGGTTTAGAGCTGAAGGCTAGCCCTCTGCAGCCCAGAGAGAAGCTGGGGCAGCGTGGCCCTCGCCAGAAACTAGGGTTTAGGGTTTCAGCTAGGGTTTAGGGTTTAGGATGCGAGCTAGTGCCTAGGGTTTATCTGTAGGGTTTAGGGCTTATGCTCACGCTAGGGTTTGCCGCTTAAGCTAGGGTTTAGGGTTTAGCGTTTATGCTGGGGCGTAGCGCCGCGGGCCCCAGCTAGGGGTTAGCGCTGCAACTAGGGTTTAGGGTTTAAACGAGGGTTTAGGGTTTAAACGGGGGTTTAGGGTTTCGACGAGGGTTTAGGGTTTAAACGAAGGTTTAGAATTTCGACGAGGGTTTAGGGTTTAAACAAGGGTTTAGCGTTTCGACGAGGGTTTAGGGTTTAGCGTTTCGACGAGGGTTTAGGGTTTGGCGTTTCGACAAGGGTTTAGGTTTTAGCGTTTCGACGAGGGTTTAGGGTTTAGCGTTTCGACGAGGGTTTAGGGTTTTGACGAGGGTTTAGGGTTTTGACGAGGGTTTAGGGTTTTGACGAGGGTTTAGGGTTTGTCAAACCATCATAAAGAGCCGCCTTTGCAAAAATGGCGCCAAAAGTGCTTTTCTCTTTCTTGCGCACTTCTTCCAGTTTCTCCTTGCACTGTACGCACACCCCAAACCCTAAACCCTAAACCCTAAACCCTAAACCCTAAACCCTAAACCCTAGCGCGCATCCCTAAACCCTCGACGGCGCCTCTACGCGCCGCCCCGCGCGCCAGCGCCCCTGACCCCGCTCCCGGGCCCCAACCCCAACCCCCAAACCCTAAACCCTAAACCCTAAACCCTAAACCCTAAACCCTAAACCCTACTTTTTTGAGTTCATTTCGAATTTCAACATTTTTAGGGTCTATTCTTGCTGCTGCTGCCAAGTCGCTGCGGGCTTCATCCAGCAGCCCGAAGGCAGCCCTGGCCACTCCGCGTCTGTACCAGGCTTTGCTGTTTTTCTGCACACAAACGAGGGTTTAGGGTTTAGGGTTTAGGGTTTAGGGTTTGGGGTTTAGCTTTGCTGCTTTTCTGCACACAAACGAGGGTTTGGGGTTTAGCTTTGCTGTTCTTCTGCACACAAACGAGGGTTTAGGGTTTAGGGTTTAGCTTTGCTGTTTTTCTGTACACAAACGAGGGTTTAGGGTTTAGGGTTTGGGGTTTAGGGTTTCGGGCGGCAGCTGCGCAGCGGCCACGACCGCCGCGATGGGCCCGCAACACCACGCGCGCTACACAAACCCTAAACCCTAAACCCTAAACCCTAAACCCTAAACCCTGTTTGTTGCAGGGCAAACCCTAAACCCTAAACCCTAGAATGGAGGTTGTTGTACCTCATCCAGCTTGATGGCTGCAGAAGCTTCGTCAATGGCTTGCGCGAACTCTCCGGTCTTGAGGTAGCAGCTGCACCCAAACCCCAAACCCTAAACCCTAAACCCTAAACCCTAAACCCTAAACCCTAACCGCCCCGCCCTGCAGAACCCTGGCCGCCAGAGCCCTCGCGCGAGCGCCCACCCCAACCCCACCCCAAACCCCAAACCCCAAACCCCAAACCCCAAACCCGTTTGGGGT